GTCCAATTTCATCATCTTCATTAATATGCCCAGAAGATATAAAATTCTGATGCTAAGAAGTGTAAAGTTTTTCTGCGTCACAATAACTTGATAGCTTTAGTTACTTTTTGCAATAACTAATCATGCTATCATTTGACACAAAAGATTAAATATTCTGCCTTGAGTATAAGAATTATATTTGCGTAATAAAAAGTAGCAAAAATTTCGAGTTTTTCAACTACAATGTACTACTTACTTTAACACTTTAAAAATGCAACTAATATAAATAGCACTAATTTTTTTTTGGTGAAAAATTTTTTGCAGCATAGATTAAAAGTAATATTTTCGAAAACAGTAAACGTGCGTGAACAAAAACTAAAAGTGAATATACAGTTTGTCTATTAAGATTGCAATGACGAAAAGATCGAGAAGAATGAGTCTCTGAAAGCGAAATTTCGGACATTACAGTTTTCAAATCAGGTCAATATTCGACAGGTCCTAGCGAAGGTCTGGATTAATACATACAAATAACGGACTGGAACTCATTTTGTCTACATTAACATCCTGCTTGTCTAGAAATGACCGCAATTATCCAGAATTATAACTCTTTCAAGGATATGCCATATGGCTATCGCTGCAATCTTTTTTTATTTATAGTTGTGGTGTTATATCTATAACAAAAAAAAGCTGCCTCAAATGACTTCAGTTGTTAAATGTGCTGCTCTGTTATGAACTAATAACAGATACAGTAGAAAATAAACAAACAAAGTAGCACTATTTATAACAATACTTCAAGTACAAATAGTTTTAATTTTTCACCTCCGAAAATACGATTTTAAGTTTCTTTCACTTTCTAATATTTAAAAATTTTAGTATAAAATAAAATTGTTCTTTCAAATCATTTCTTTACCTTTCCTCAATATCAAAATTTATGTGCTGCGTTGTTGGCTAAATAATTTAGTTCAAAAACTTAAATCATCTAAACTGCTTGCACAGAAACATTTTTATTTTATAACAATTAAAACAATAAAAGCAACCTGAAAACTGAAAGAATTAGTGCTCTTTCTTTTTTCTAAATTTGCAATAAATTGTATTTCAACAATACAATTGTGCATATAAAGCCAAAAATTACATTTTCTGGAATCTATTTGAAAACGATCTGTATTTTAATGCTATTAATCGTTATGTAAAGTCTTTCCCTCGCATGTTATTTCGTACTTTTGATTTTCATTGGCATTCAAAAGAATTTTCCTATTTTTGAATTTTATCTATTTTTTAAATTATCCAGAGAGTTAATTTATGACATTAAGCTTTGAGTATCTGATATTTGCGAGAAAAGTAACTAGAGAGTGTGCTTTTTGAAAAGATACAGCAGCGTGAACCAAAACGTGAAAATGTACTGTTCGGTGGTGATCTCAATACAGTGTAATTGCTAGTATCAGGGTAAAAATATAATTCGCATTTTTAAATTCACATTTTCTAATCAAAAATGTATTTTAATTGCTAACTTATGAAGTCTAATAAGTTTTAATAACGCAATTAAACTTCATAAAAATTATTGCAAGAGCAAAAATTTCTAAATAGCAAATGATGATTACAGAAAGTTTGAGTGACAGAAAATATAAATTCACAGTCGAATAACATATTTTTATTAGGTACAGGTCATTTGCGTATCAAGTCCATATAACCAAGATATAATATTTCTTGATATCAAGGTAAGCAATTACATTATAATAAACTTGATAAATCGATACACATTGTATGAGGAAGATAGCCACCTTGCTTAGCATATATATATAAAGTCCAAATTTTTTCTATACATATTTATTTTATTATCAAAGGAAGCCTAATACTATGCTTTTAAAACTGACATATCTAAATTTTTATTTCATTTGTAATTTTGTGCTTTCAGAAACATTAATAAAAACTTTTAAACTATCAATTTTTGAATTCAATTAATTTATGCAGAAACCTGCTCATGCGCAACATCATCCCAGCTTTATTCATCAAGATCGCAACATTGTTCTATCTCTGAAATGATCCCACAATTTTTGTATATCTGTTTTTTAAAATTGTTCATTTTCTTGTATGTGTATTCTTAAATTGAAAGAGTCAAATTTTAAGGCATTAAATAGGTAAATAGCTAGTTAGTGACCTGATTGATTAACTGATCAAGTGAATGAATAAATAATTAAGAACTGAATCATATCAGCACTTTACATCATAAAATGAGCATTTTGATCACATGCATTAATCACAAAAATCCAAGTTCATTCAGATTGGGCAGCACCAATTAGGCAAAAGTTGTTGTTTGTTACAATTTAAAGTTTTGCATTACTTTGATTCATTGAAATTAAACGTTAAAAAGCTTTAAAGTTTCATGAAAACAAATCGAATTAAATCTCAGAGTCGATTTTGAGTATGAAAAAAATATACATCTCTTCGAAATCAGCTGATCACGAACAAAAATAATTCATGGTCATTTAAGACTAGTCTTATTATATGATTGATATTTCAAGTACAGGTCCATATTTTTCAAATTTATAAAGCGATGTTAGACACAAATATCATAAGAA